ACACACACACACACACACACACACACACACACACACACACACACACAGGATGAATGCCCCTCTGAACAAGAAAACACTAACTATGGCCAAGCAATATCTTCTGGAAGGGTGTGTTGCTAACTAATATTCTGAAATTAAAGCCAGAAACACAATTACTACTGTGACACTTTTATTTTAAGGCCAAGCTTCAATTGGAGAATGGCTTTCCTGGTAACACTGGCAATCAGACTCCATCTGCTGGTAATATATTAAAGCAGAAAAGCATTTGGAAAATTATTTTCCTTCAAATAAAAAGTAAATAGGTGTGTAAATCTTTGCTCAGATGTTCTCTAATGTCATGGACACGATTTCCCCTAAGTCTATGGACTATAGAAGTAATAGTTAAAATTGAAATATCATTAATAACTATGCCATTTACAATTTAGTTACTTGGGAGTAGGTAGTAGGTAGAGTGACAGACAGATAGATAGATTAGACAATAGGTAGGTAGGTTGGTAGATAGTCCTTTAAAAGAATTTAAAGGACAAAAACAACACTTTTAAATTATGGTCAGAGTCCACCATTTAATATACAGAATAATCCACATAATTTAATCTACACAACCTATAGAATTAGAATTAGGAAAATGCTGGCTAGTCATTTTGGTTTTGTTTAATTTTTATATAGATGAAACAAGGCTAAATTTCACAACAAGGCTAATTCAACAAGACCTACTGGAGACCGAAGTCACAGCAAGGCCTGGCACAGAGCTGTGGTGAGAGATAATGGTGCCAAGGCCTTGATTATAGTCGACATACTTAAACATACAGCTCCATTTTAAACCAGTGTTACCAGGGCCACTAATGACCTCAACTCAATGCCCTGAACTCATTGAATGAACATCTTTAGAAGATTCAAATATTTTTTTTATTCAGACTGTGGCTTTGACAAATTGAATGTAGAAAAAAAAATAAGAAAAGAGAAGACAAAAAAGCAATGGATTTTCATAAATTTATAAACACAGAAGACATTTTTAATGTATGATTATTTTTTAGGTGTATATGGTTGACAATTTGCTATTTCTCTGGAGATAGAGTCAGTTTTGAGCTTCATGTCAAAAATGAGAAATTAATTTTAATGAATATATTTTTCTCCTAAGTTCATTTCTATTAGTTCTTTTAAACTAATTTATGTTATGGCGTATGGATTTATTAATACAATATCCACCTAGCATGTATAAGGCCCGAGGTTTGATCTCCAGCACTGGACCAAATAAACAAACAAAAAATAAATGAGTCTCTTAAAGGCATCATGTAGGATAGTAACTTCCTGAGCTGTGCAGTTAGACGCTTACTACTTGTGTGATTTGGGCAGATCACTCAATCGCAATAACTCAAAATGTCCCTGTCTTTTGAGCAGCGATGAGGCTTGAGAGGCACGGATTTTGAGGTCTCGAGGACTGGCAGGCATTTATATATTTGTTTTCTGTCTATGTCATTTAGCAGTTTGATTCTTGCTTTACTTGTGTCTAGCTTCTCACTTGCCTTCTTCTCACCTGTCTGTGTCTAGGATACGTTACATATATAAATTCTTGAAGCTTACCCATTCATTCATCAGCTCCTATTTGTGTCTGATTATGTGGTGTGCTAAGTACACAAAGATGGGTGTCACAGAGTCCTGTCTTGGATACCTCTCAATTGTTTACCATGATAATATTTTCAAAGTTAGGCAATAAGACTGGTCTTTATGCTTTTGTATCACTGACCAAATGGCCTGTTTGTTTGTTTGTTTGTTTTAAATCACTATCTGCTAAACAGTGACAGCAGTAAGAACTATTTAGGGAGTGTCTGCCATAAGCTGCCCCTGTCGAACCCTTATTAAGAGGTGGCTGCTTTTAATGGTAGGCAGACTTTTAACAACAGAAGCATTATATTGTTGACTTAGGATATTACTTAGCAGACAGCTGACTAAGCTGCCTCAGGAAGGAGGTAGCTTCATGGAGAACTCCAATGTAAATGTCTGTTATTAGGACTAGTGACAGGCAAAATTATAGGTGTCACTAGGAAGCTACCATGCAACATGGATGTTTCTAAGTTCAATTAAACATGTTTAATTGGCAGACAGATTTGCTAAAGATCTCTAAATGTGAAACAGATTATTTAAGTTTAACCTTAAGGTCATGAAAATGTTTGTTGAAGCTGCTTCCTTTGTTTAGAGACAATGCTTCTTTTAAAGAAAGAAACACAAATTCCATACAAAATTCACTCAAAATGTAAATTTATATGCCTTAAAATTCTAATACTACCAGTGACTTTTATGCTTTTGGAAAGTTGCAGAGGTGTTTAAAAGCAACTTTGATGAACGTTAAATGTAATATGCCAGGTTAAAGCAGAGATTCTCTGCCTTGAACAGCCTACCCACCTTACTTTGCATTTATTAAAATGCACTTGGAACACACATCTCAGTCAAAAGGGTAACAACCCTAAAGGAAAGGAATCCTACAAGGTGCTAAGAAAATGACTTTAAAATTTTGATGCAAAATTTGACAAATGATAAGAATAGGCAAATCACAGAAAAGAGAAGCCAGCTAGTGAAGGGATGTGAATTAAAACACATGGCTTTTCATCTGGTCACCTGCAGGCCTTGCAAGGGAAGCACCCCAGTTCTGGTGAGAGCACATGGAAGCCTGTTGTCTATGTTGCTGATAAAATGCAGACACTTATAAAATCTAACGAGTTAGATGTGAAGAAGTTCACTGGTATATACAGACTTGGGTCTGGTTAATTTCACTGTGCATTGTCTTATTTGCAAGTTCCTTATAATAAAGTTTTTTAAATATACTCTTTGACCTAGAAATCATTATTTTATTATGATAATTAAAATTACAGTTACCATGCAAAGTAATGGCTTTACTATGGCATTTTTGTACTTAAGTGTCATCATATTTTGTTCTTTTTGTTTCTTTGCTTTGTTTCAAGATAGGGTTTCTTCTCTTTGTAGCATCAGCCATCCTGGCTCCGTAGACCAAGCTGGTCTCAAACTCAAGAGATCTGTCTGCCTCTGCCCCCTCCCAACCTCCCAGTGTGGGGATTAAAAGCATGCGGTTCTTATTTATGCCCATCTTTCTCCTCTTTATGGTCTCATTCCTCCCCCAAATAGTCTTCCTGTATGCATTCACATCACAGGGATTTCTTTACTTTCTCTTTCTCTGTGTGAACATCTTTTCCTTCCTCTTTTTGTTTCCTTCATACTTTCTGACCTGAACATACCACACACAGACACAGATACAGACACACAGACACACACACAAGATTCCACACATGACAGATACTATGCTCTATCTTTCTGTTGCTTATTTCATGTAACATAATCTTCAATTCTACTTCCCCATGAATTTCATGCTTTCAACTTCTTTATGACTGAAGGAAATTCCACTGAGTATGTACTGCCTTTTCTTTATCCTTCCATGTGTTGATACGCTCCAGGTCTCATACCATTTTTTTAGTTGTAAAGAGAGCACTGATAAACACAGATGTGCAAGTGTTTCTGTAGCATCTTGACCGAGTGCCCTTCAGGTGTATGTAGTTAGGAGTGGTAATATGGTAGTTCTATTTTTAGTTTCTTCAGGGGCCTCAATGCTAACTTCCATCGTAGCTGCAAAGGCTTACAGTTTAAATTGTATGTATTAAAATGTTTGTCTTTACACTTCCCCTTTGAATATTTTTCTTTGCCTTATTCCAAAAGTAAGAGGGTTAATTAGAACAACCCCAAAGCTGTTTACTGAATAGTCTCATTGGGCAGGAACTTCATAATCTAAAACTGTTGTCCTGAACATAAAGAAACTGGTAGTCTTCCTTTGCTTGAGATTTAGCAATAACTATTTATCATCTTTTTGGGTACATACGTTTTCCATTTTAATATGACTAAATTAAAGTATATGCACATTATGGCATACATTATGGTTCATTTGCTTTGTGACTTTGAGGTTCAAATATTATGGTGTCTCTTGTGGTCAGTGGGCATACAGAAGAGATGTGGAGAATGGAGAAAGCAGGGTATTACCCAGTTAGTATGGGACAGAGAGGCAACAGAACAAGATACAAAGAATGGTAAGATTATAGTATCCAAGTAACTGAAATTTTCCTTTGTGCTGTATTCTGTGACACAGTAGTCCTCTAAACAAGAAAAGGAGCCCTGGGAATGATGGCAGTCATTCAAACTTTATTTCTTTATCAAGTAGGGTTAAGTACAAGTTCCAGAAAGGGGAATACAAAGCAGTAAGTGCACAGCCACAGAGGAAGCTTAATTAAACCAAAATCATTCCAAAGTCTTTGGTAATCAATTTGTGTTCAGTAAAACTTTACATATTTCAACATAAGTTGGTAATACATTAAAACTACACTACAGGAAGTGTTGGTGTTTTGCATATCAGCTGATACACAAAGAAAACATCAAAATAAATATTCATGGGCTGGTGATATGTCTCAGTGGGTGAAGGTGTTTAGGCACTGATCCTGATGATTTGAGTTGAACCCTGGGACCCACATGATGGTTGGAGAGAATCAACACCTGCAAGTCCTCCTAAAGATTGGAAATATGGCTCCTTAAATAAATAAATGCAATAATTTAAATAATGTTAAAATCAGTATTTACATTTATTCTGTTATGAACATTGTATAAATTAACATTGTGTGGATTGTCCCTTGAATTGATTTGCTACTTTATTTCTTGTCCAGACTCAAATTTCTGAATTAGGTTCCATTTATTGCTAGTACTTTCATTATGTAAAACTCTTTGAAATTCACTTAACAGAATTAAAAAACATCCATTTACTTACCTGAATTCCAAAAGGTTCATTTCATGTTGATAATCTCCCTGGACCATCTTTAAATTTGATGTGTGCTCCGACGTAGATGACTCTATCTTTCCTAAGAGCTGCATTACCTAATGGAAGTGCAAGATGTTTGGGTGTGTGAGCAAAGTCATCAGCATTTATACACACACACATTCTTTCTGAAGAATCCCAGAGCATATCTGCATTAGAAAATGATTCACCTGCCAGAAGACCATCCCCTCCCTCTCTATTACCTCAGACCTAGTCCTCAGGGTGGCCCCTGGTGCTGCAGCAGAACACCAGCTGCAGCTCCCCACACGCCTCCTGTGGAGTCCACAAATCATCTCCTTCTGCCCTTCCCACCTCATCATTGCATCCGAGCCCCCATCGCAGGAGGACACACGCTGCTCCACCACAGGCTACGCCTGCCCACAGACCTTCCCCATTCCTCTGCTACCCAAGATACAATTCTCATGATTGCCCCTAACACTGGCACGGAACCCCAGGGGCAGCTTTTCCTCCCCTGTCCAAGCCTCTGGTAGGTCCCTCAACTATCTCCTCATTGCCTCCTCCTCTCACACCCTCTAACATCAGCAAGCACTCCTCCCCGCCCACTGCCACCCCTGTGAACATACAAGCCTAGCAAACAAGCAAAACAGACAACACTCAGCCAATACATTCTCCGAATATTTAGAGAGGAAACAGAAACCAAGGAAGAAAACTCTCAACCAACAAAGCCAAACCCCCAAGTCAACACCTAGACCTATACCCAAACCTAGAAGCCTAGACACCAGCATAAAAACACAATCAAGAATAGTCAGGGCAATATGTCTATACCACAGTCCAGCTATCCTACCACAGCAGGCCCTCAGTATCCTAACACAGCTGAAGCACAAGAGAGGGACCTTCAAACCAACTGTTTGAAGATGCTGTATACACTTAGCGAGGAAATAAATAAATCCCTTAAAGAAATTCAGGAAAACAGAACAAAGAAATGGACTAAATCCATAAATCTATTTTTTAAAGCAAAGAAAAAACAAGTAAGCAGCTGAAGAAAACAAATAAAGGTGTTCCAGAACTGAAAAGTAATAAAGAAAATATAAACTGAGGGAATCCTGGATTAAAAAAAAAATAGGAATTTGAACACGAACCACAAAGGCAAGCTTCACCAACAGAATAAAAGAGATGGAAGAAAGAATCTCAGCCATAAAAGAAAACATTAAATCTAAATACTCCTGACAAAAAAAATCCAAGAAATCTGGGAAACTATGAAAAGACCAATAACAGGAATAGAGGCAGGAAAAAAAAAATCTCAGTTCAATGGCATAGAAAATATTTCCAACAAAATCATAGAAGAAAAAAATTCTAATCTAAAGAAGGAGATACCTATAAAGGTACAAGAATCATATACAATATCAAGTAGATTGGACTAAAAGAAGAAAGCACCCTCAGTATATAATAATCAAAACACTAAACATATAGAACAAAGAATACTAAAAGCTGCAAGGGAGAAAGATCAAGTAACATATAAAAACAGACTTATTAAGATTACATCTGACTTCTCAGTGGAGACTTTAAAAGCCAGATGAGTGTTGACAGAAGTGTTGCAGACCACAGATGGGACTACAGAGACCACAGAAGGGAGCGTATGGGCTCACAGAGACTGAAGGGGCAGGCATAGGGTTTACATGTGTCTGTACTAGGTCCTCTGTGTATGTTATAGCTGTTAGCTTGGTGGTTTTGTGAGGCTTCTGAAAAATGAAGAACAAAATCCACAGTAAAGAACTTTGAATCTTATGTACCTACATCCTTATACGCTATAGTTTTTTTTATAATAAATTAATAAAATATATATTAGTGATTTAAAAATTTTAATTTATTTTAGTGTGTGTGTGTGTGTGTGTGTGTCCCATATGGTGCCCTATAAAACCACAGGAGAATATGGAGTCTCCTGAAGCTAGAGTTACAGGCAGTCATGAAACTGCCCAGCATGGGTTCTGAGATGTTAACCTGGGTCATCTGGAAGAGCAACAAGTGCTCTTAACCACTGAGCCATTTCCTAAGCCCTAGTAATTATTTTTAAATTACTTATTTGTTCTTTACTTTTCAAATAAGTAAAGCGCAAACAATTACAGCAAGATATAAAAAATACAAATTTTACTTAATAGATGTGTGCATCAGCCCATGACACTTGGAAATAGCTAGTACTCACTCATTCTTTCCCAGCAGGAGTGAACATTTGCAAGCATTGTGACCTGAAGGGAATTTCAAACTGCTCCAGATTCAAGAAGAGCATAGGCTACATGTGTGCACTGTGCTAAGCGAAAATGAATAGGAAAGAGTACGTATGAAGGAACCACGGTCCAGCCAGTTGGGTACAGAAATAGGCTTTTACATGCCTTTGACAGCTACTGCAAGGGGCACACTTGGCCTCAAGCCTGGACTCCTGGGCTTAAAGCCATGAGTGTTCTGGGTACCCTGAGCACCTTCTTGCTGGTCCCAGGTGTCTCTGAGTGCCATTCCTCACATGGGTAGTTTTCATTCAAGGAACCTGATGAAATGTTCTTCATGGCATCTCACTGAGTCCTTCCTTCCCTGTCTATAACACAGGAGTCAGTTTTCTATTTCCCTGTCTCATCCAGCTCTCTCTCCACTATTCCTCACAGACATCCCCTTAGTGAGCCTCTTGCTCATCTAATTCCTTCTCAAAGGGTCGTGACTAACGCTAGTATCAATAGGCAGGTCCATAGAATTAAGTGTCTACAATGCAGGTCTGAGGATGTGTGTGCTTCACGTGAAAACCTCACCCAGTGCAGTGCTTAAGTACACATGTGACATTATCAATGACACTAATGGTCGTCTATAACAACAGCTCCCATGGAGACTCCTTTCAGTATAATCCTGGGCTCCACAGTGTTGAAGGGAACCAGAAAGAGCACGTATCTGCAATGACAGAAGCAGCCCATGCTCACAGTGGAAGCGTGTGCTGGGACACGGAAGGCACTTTTTAAATATTTCTTGGTTCAACTGACTGAACTCATAATGTATTTGAATGAGTTTCATATTAAATCCCTCAAGGTAAAGGGTTCTCTTTTCTGAGTAGCCCTTTTACTGAGCTCTCACATGCTGATGATAGTACCTTATAATGGCCCACAAATCCCATCTCTCTTCAGTTACCTTCATATCCAAGTTCTTGGAAATGGTGTGTAGGGAAGAAACGAGTTCTTGAACTGATTTCTCAACCTGTCGGCACTCCTGCCTGATACACTGGATGTCTCCAGAAAGCTTCACGATGCTTGAGTCACACCTAGTGTCAAGATGGAAAGCTGCATGAGATCAGCAGGCACACAAACTGGAAACTCCACAGTACGATCTAGCCATTCACTTGATTCCAGAGTTCTCCAGGTCTTTGACTAACATGTTGACAGATGTGAGGGGCCATACAGAGACTGAGAGATGCTAGCTTAGTCCACTTCTTTCATAAGATTCACAGAGTAGAGGTACTCTGTCCAAAGTTTGGCTATGAGTCTCAGCATCTGCTTTGATACCTTGCAGGGTAGAGCCTTTCAGAGGCCCTCTGTGGTAGGCGCCTGTCCTGTTCTCTGAAATAACAGACTTTTAAAAATCATTCATATACCACTAAACTGAACCATATCATACTTCATTCAAAAGGAAGTGTCTGCTGTTTATGTTTTTATATATATATATATATATATATGTAGGACTGCAGGTTCATTCATGTTTATCTTATTATCTTGTTGTAAAACTCACCCAAATCTTAAATTTTGCATGTATCAGATATTGTATAATAAAGATAGAATAATACATAAATGTTGTATTTATTTACTTAGTCTCTAGATTGTCAGTTAATTTTTCTTAGGTGACTTTCTAACCATAAGCATTATTTCCTAAACACTATTGAATTTTTAGAGGAACAAAGTGATACTTCAGAGCTAGAGAGTCTTCCCTAGAGCTACTAAGTTATTTTTGTTGGAGGACAGCAAAAATGCTGGCCTCCTCCTCTACCTCTGTCCTTTCAGCTTCCCCTCTGAGCGCCATGCCCATTCTGGGTAAGATCCCACAGTCTTCTCAGACGTGACAGGTTTTCGAGCAAGGCATCATCAATTTTTGCTTCTCCCAGCTGCTTCTTGTTTCGTAGTTTGTTCCTCTGCTGAATACTGGGGAACAGGCAGGTATTCAACCAGACCCCATACCAAAAATTTAGATACTTTCCCCCAAATTTTTTAATATGTATTCCTCTATCCTAATCAATGTTGATTCATGTAGTAACTCTGTGGAGTCTATTTTCCTATGTCTGTCCTCTGCACTGGGCATCCATGGGTAGCGACTTAGTTTGGGCCCTAGGCACCTCTATCCTGGGCTGCTGCAACAGACTGCCTCTGATCTTCTGCCCTCCCTCTATATGCACCAACCATTTAGATGTTATTAGAATGCCACTAAATATAGCATCACCTTACCTAAAATCTACTTATGGATATCTATAATCTACATGAAGGTCACTTTAGCCCACAGGGTCCTTCAGTTTTCAACATTGGTTGTTTCCTTGGCATTATCTCCCATCTTTCCTTGAATGCATACTGTAAAACACCATAACCAGCATACTCTTCTCACAGGCAGGCCTTGGAACGTGCCTCAGCAGACCTTCCCTTTGCTCATTTCCATACATTTTTCTCCTATGTGGAGTGTCTTTCCCAACTTTCTGGGCTCATTACTACAAATCCCTCAAAAAACCCATCCCGAGTATTGCCTCCTGGGGCAGCCTCTTCTGCCCAGGCGGATGTGACATTGTCACGGCAATACCAGGCTCTCTCAGGAGAGCATTGTCTTCACTGCTGGCAAGCTGTTGATAGAACTGGTTTTGCCAGGTAGACAGCGAGAGCTAGAGAGAGACTGGGTTGCTGGACCTTATCTTGGCATATGGTAAATGATGAGTGAATTGAATGAGTTGTAGGCTTTATTTTTGGTTGTTTTGAGATTGGATCTCTCTAGATAGCCTTAGATGTCATGACACTCACTATGTAGATCAGGCTGTCTGCCAACTCACAGAGCTCCCTTTGGTTCTCCTTCCTCATTACTGGGATGAAAGGCATATGCCACCATGCCTGCCGATGAATACATTTTTATTTAACTGATGAAATAAATATCCTAGAATTCCCTACCTTAACTGTCTATCATCCAAAATTCAAGCATTGTTGGTATGATAAAATTAGGAGGCCGGGCATCTGACCACAGGAGCTCCTCCTAGATGAATAGAATTGAGGCCCTCATGGACGTCTTCAGGTTTCTGACAAGCCCTGGAAGATGCAGCCCTCACAGGACATTGGGGCCTGCTGTCCTGGAGTGTGCACTCCAGCCACTGAAACTGTGAGAAACCCAAGCCTTTGTTTCATAATACCTAATTTCAGGTGTTCTGTGATAGCTGCATACATAGACTAAGAAATTTGACTTAGATGTCAACCATCTAATTCTCATCTGGTAATTTACACTTTGGAAAGAATAAGGTGAAAATAGAAACTTCAAGGACCAACACAATAGATTCAGGCGGACTATACAGAGATGGACCATATCTATGGAAATACAACCACAAGTAATTTCTCATGTTAGAGTTTCTAACATTTCCATCATCTATAGATTTTTTCCTGATTCATGCACTATTAACGCTTCATTTAAACATACAATACAAAAGATGTTACTCAAAACTTCATCTGCTGGCATACTTTAAATACTTTATTTCTCAGAACGTGTGCTTATGCAAGTATTCTGAGTGTAACTTTTGGCCTTTGCTCAGCAGAAGGCTATAAAAACAAGGCTGTGGTAACTTTCAATAGAAAAAAACTGGACATTCTATGTAAGCGTTCATGGAACTGGAAGCAAGCATCAGACTTTCAAAGGTTTATGAGATAGTTTCTTAACTACATGTCATCCACTTAGCTCAGTGTAAACTGACACCTCATCTATTAAAATGTGAAAATGTTTTGTGAGGAATTCAGGGGCCAAAAGCTGGCTGGCAAACTTTGATTAAACACACTTCTTCTCACCTGGCTACTCTTCCCCGAAGGTCTCCAACTCCTTGCAGGTGTTTGATGTTTAAATCCTGCACTGCATAGTTAGTTCCTGTGGCTGCCTGGTCTCGGATTCTTATTTGGTCTTCTAGGATCTGTAATTTTGGGTTAAGAACATCATTAATTTCCCAATACTCATGAAAAGAGAACATTACTAAAATACATACTATGGTTAAACAACATCTGATGAAAAGGGAGAGGGAGAGGGGAGAGAGAAGGAAAGGGGGAGAGAGAGAGAAGAGGGGGTAGAGGTATAAGGGGAGGGGAGGGAGGGGGAGGGCGACAGAGAGGGAAGGGAGGGGGGAAGGAGAAGGAGAGGGGGAAGGAGATTGTTCAGAGAGAATTGAACTTTGCTTTAACTGAGGAAGGCTGATGTAATTTCAGTTGAGTGCTGCCAGGGACAAATAAGGTCTCAATAATTTCTGAACACTAGCCAGATCACCAGGCTTTATATGAAATCTCTCAATTAAAAAATACTGTCATCTACTATGGAAATCAACATGGCGGTTCCTCAACGAGCTGGGAACAGATCCACGTCGAGATCCAGCTACACCACTCTTGGGCATCACCCAAAGGACTCTACATCCACCACAGAGACACTTGCTCATCTGTCTTCATTGCTGCTCTATTTGTAATTGCCAGAAATAGGAAACAACCTAGATTCTCATCAACAGATGAATGGATAATGAATCAAAATTGTTCAGCTGTTAAATAAAAAATAAAATCATGAAATTCTCAGGTAACTAGATGGAGCTAGAAAAGTAAAACCATCCTCAATGATATAATTCAGACCCCAAAAGACAAACATGTATGCGTTTTCTTATATGTGGATGCTAGCTCTTAAATGTTCAATAGGCATGCTACAATCCATATTACCACACTGTTTAGGGATAGAGTACGGGTCAGAGGTAAAGGAGACTCTATCAAGGAAGGGGAAATAATATGGAGAGGTATGGAGGAGACTGGCACCGGAGGACTGAAGAGAAGGGACAGCTAACAGTAAAGGCCCTTTGAGGGGTCACATGGACACCTACTAGAGTAGAAGCTTATTAAAATATGTACATATATGAAAAATATGAAAGGAGCTGCCAAATAAGAGGAGACAAAACCCAAACTGGACATCATTTCAAGACGCTCTTCTATGCATGTGTGTTCAGATTTTATCTCGGCTCTTAGTCATATCTCAATCACATGCTGGCATTCTCCTATAGTACCAAATTGGAGTGCTGAGAATAGTGGTTTTAAAAATATTATACACCAATTTGTAACTATGTTACTATTAAGTTAAAACAAAAAAATACCTATCCATTAAAAGTAATATTTCAGTTGCCAACGTCAGTGTACACTGACAAGCAAAATGTTAGTTGGGAAAAAAGAGCACAGCACTTTGGAAAAACAAGCTTGAGTTTAGTTACACTTGATAAATGCCTGAACTGTGTTTAAACTTGATGAATTTTACAAGGCAAAAGTTTTTAAAAAGTGAGTGATAGGAATGAAAAAGACCATATATACACAGATTTAAAAAAGAAAAAACTGGCAGATTGGGACAATCTAGGAGTGCAGAAAACCTGAACCGCAGACACAGGAGTCAGGAGCTCGCTGATGCCAGCCTCTTCTCTGTAAAGCTGTGGCTACCTCATGCCCATGAATATATGAACTGCACAAATTGGACTCAAATTGGGTTTAAAATTTTTTTTAAGGATAAAAATGTTGGGATGGGTTGAAGAAGGGGAGTGAATATGGGAAGACTTATGGGAGAAATGAGAATGAATCAAAATATATTACATGTATGAAACTCTGAAAGCTTTAATAAAAGGTTGCATGTTTTAGAAAGTAAGCATCAGAAACATTTTTGGATTTGTCTTTTGCATTGCTTTTTTCCCACTTTTGTAAAAACTTTTATTAATTATACTTTTTTCATTTTGTATCCCCCCATAATCCCCTCCCTCCTTCCCTCCTAATCTCACCCTCCCTCCCCCTTCTTCACATATTCCCCTCCCCAAGTCCACTGATAGGGGATTTCCTCCTCTGCTTCCTTCTGATCTTAGTCTATCAGATCACATCAGGGATGGCTGCATTGTCATCTTCTGTGGCCTGGTAAGGCTGTTCCCCCCTCAGGGGGAGGTGATCAAAGAGCAGGCCAATCAGTTCATGTCAGAGGCAGTCCCTCTTCCCATTACTATGTAACCCACTTGGACACTAAACTGCCATGGGCTACATCTATGCAGGGGTTCTAGGTTATCTCCATGAATAGTCCTTGGTTGGAGTATGAGTCTCTGGAAAGACCCCTGTGTTCAAATTTTCTGGTTCTGTTGCTCTCCTTGTGGAGCTCCTGTCCTCTCCAGATCTTACTATTTTCCACTTCTTTCATAAGATTCCATGCACTCTGCCCAACAGTTGGCCATAAGTCTCAGTGTCTGCTTTGGTAGTCTGCAGGGCAGAGCTTTTCAGAGGCCTGTGGCAGGTTCCTAGGTTGTTTCCTGTTTTCTTCTTCTTCTGATGTCCATCGCCTTTTGAGATGGGGATTGAGCATTTTAGTCAGGGTCCTTCCTCTTGATTAGTTTCCTTAGATATACAGATTTTAATAGGTTTATCCTGTATTATATGTCTATATGAGTGAGTATATACCTTGTATGTCTTTCTGCTTCTGGGACAGCTCACTCAGGATGATCCTTTCCAGTTCCCACCATTTACCTGAAAATTTCATTATTTCCTTATTTTTCATTGCTGAGTAATATTCCATTGTGTAGATATACCACATTCTTCATTTGAGGGGCATCTGGGCTGTTTCCAGCTTCTGGCTATTACAAATAAAGCTGCTACAAACATGGTTGAGCAAATGTCCTTATTGTGTACTTGAGCCTCTTTTGGATATATGCCTAGGAGTGGTATGGCTGGATCTTGAGGAAGCGCTATTCCTAGTTGTCTGAGAAAGTGCCAGATTGATTTCCAGTGTGGTTGTACAAGTTTACATTCCCACCAGCAGTGGAGGAGGGTTACCCTTTCTCCACAACCTCTCCAGCATGTGTTGTCACTTGAGTTTTTCATCTTGGCCATTCTGATGGGTGTGAGGTGAAATTTCAGGGTTGTTTTGATTTGCATTTCCCTGATGGCAAATGAGGTTGAGCATTTCTTTAAATGTTTCTCTGCCATTCGATATTCCTCTATTGAGAATTCTGTTTAGCTCTGTTCCCCATTTTTTAATTGGATTAATTGGTTTGCTGCTTTTCAGCTTCTTTAGTTCTTTATATATACTGGATATTAGCTCTCTATCAGATAAAGGGTTGGTGAAGATTCTTTCCCAATCTGTAGGCATTCGTTTTGTTTTGATGATGGTGTCCTTTGCTTTACAGAAGCTTTTCAGTTTCATGAGTTCCCATTTATTGATTGTTGCTCTTAGAGCCTGTGCTATTGGTGTTCTGTTCAGGAAGTTGTCTCCTTTGCCAATGAGTTCTAGGGTCTTCCCCACTTTTTCTTCTAACCGATTTAATGTGTCTGGTTTTATGTTGAGGTCTTTGATCACTTGGACTTTAGTTTTGTGCAGGGTGATAAGTGTGGATCTATTTGCATTTTTCTACATGTAGTTATACAGTTGGACCAGCACCATTTGTTGAAGATGCTATGTTTTTTCCATTGTATGGTTTTGGCAACTTTGTCAAAGATCAGGTGTCCATAAGTGTGTGGGTTTATTTCTGGGTCTTCTGTTCAGTTCCATTGATCCACCATTCTGTTTCTATGCCAGTACCATGCAGTTTTTATTACTATTGCTCTATAGTATAGCTTAAGATCAGGGATGGAGATATCTCCAGAAGATCTTTTATTGTAGAGGATTGTTTTCTGGGTTTCTTGTTATTCCATATGAAGTTGAGAATTTTTCAAGGTCTGTAAAGAATTGTGTTGGTAATTTGATGGGAATTGCATTGAATCTGTAGATTGCTTTTGGTAAGATGGCCATTTTCACTATGTTAATCCTGCCAAGCCATGAGCATGGGAGATCTCTCCATCTTCTGATATTTTCTTCTAATTCTTTCTTCAGAGACTTGAAATTTTTTTCATACAAGTCTTTGACTTGCTTGGTTAGGGTTACACCAAGGTACTTTGTGTACATTTGTGGCTATTGTGAAGGGTGTTGTTTCCCTAATTTCTTTCTCAGCCCTTTTGTCTTTTGTATACAGGAGGGCTACTGATTTTTTTTGAGTTAATTTTGTATTCTGCCACTTTGCTGATGGTGTTTATCAGCTGTAGGAGTTCCCTGGTAGAATTTCTGGGGTCACTCATGTATATTATCATATCATCTGCAAATAGTGATAATTTGACTTCTTCCTTTGCTTTTTTAAAGAAAAGACTAGACAGATGTGAGGCAAATTCTGAGAGCCTGGTCTATATAGAGCTCCAGGACAGCCAAAGTGACATAGTGAGACTTTATCTCAAAACACAAACAAACAACAGAGCTAAAGTAGCTGGCTCTGTTCAGTATAGAATATTTTCTAGGTCAAAGCCAAATAAATCAGTGTAGCAGTGGCATATTGAAAACTCTTTCAGTATAATGTAGCATTGTCCTGTAATGTAACATAGCAATGTAATGAAGACTTCTCTAACCCTGGGCAAGAAATAGCTACACTAAGATGTGTGTGTGTGTGTGTGTGTGTGTGTGTGTGTGTGTGTGTGTGTGTACAGTGTGTGATGATGGCGGTGATGGTCATAGGTGCACCATAAGGCAGGACCATGACAAAAAATGGCAGTATTTTGGGTCACTTTTTAGTTGCAAAGCAGAATATTTGACTGTTTAACTTTATATAAAGCCATGTAAATTCACTTAAAAAATTAAGATATAAGACATTCACAGTGGTACACTCCTGTAATCCCAGCACTTGGGGGAAGCAAAGTCAGGTGGATCTCTGTGAATTTGAGGGCAACCTGGTCTACAAAGTGAGTCCAGGACAGCCAAGGCTGCACACGGAGAAACCTGATTCAAAAAACAAACCAAAAATTTAAGAACTAAAAGCACAAGGAGACATTAGAGATGCTGTTGCCAAGGGTTTCACTGATGTTGGGAAGCCAGCATGCGCCTCTTCGTGAGGCTGGACTACACATCTTCCTTTCTTCCTGTGCTGTGGTGCCAGGAGGCTGGACTGAAATCAGAGCAGAAATATTAATACCAAAAGGAAAACCACACACCACAGAGCAGGAATTTTTCTCACAGAAAAATATGGTTGCTTATTGTTAAATGTTAATAATGTGCCCTGGCTATCATCCTTACTATATAAAAGAGCTTATTACATTAAACATAATTAAAAAGTGCTAAAACCCCAAAAGATATATTAGCAAAATACATGAACAGATTATTGGCAGAGGGAATACAAATTATCATAGTCAGATTAATAAGTGGATTCAACATATTCAAGGGATAAAAAAAAAAACCCAGCACTTAGTTTCTGTATATTAGCAAGGATTGAAGTAATAAATCTTGATGCTGGCATAGGCCCATTGCAAAGCATCTCATATAATGCTAATGGAGTGTAAATTAGTGCAGAGCTTGTAAAGACAATTTAGCAACATATATCAGGAGCTTTTATAGTGTCTACACCCTAGTAATTCCATTTGCAAGAATATATGTTGTGGAAGTAATCCAATAGACAAGGATATTTCAATATTGAGAAAATAATTAAGCAAATCATGATCTATACACTATGTAAAAAGATTTTAATGATGTGAGTTTATTTTATGCTAAAGATTGTGCTTGCACTTATAGTCTGTCTCCTAAGTGGAATGCTTACTAGGACATAGAGGGACATTTCTTTGGGTGTTTGTAGAAATCACCATTTGGTGGTAGAATTGTGAGACTATTTTCCCAAGTTTCAAAATTTCTTCCTGAATTTTCAAATGAATTATAATGAAGAAAAATTATTTTTAATAACTAGGAAAAATTCTCCCCAACAAAGCAGTTTTAAGGATAAAAATTTTCTTTACTGGCTTAAAGAATAAATTAATTTTTAAAGTTACAGTGAATTCCTGGGTAAAATGTTTGTTTTTCTAGGCTTGGTGGTGCATGTCTGTGACCCCAGCATGTGGAACACAAAGGCAGAAGACTCATAGGTTCAAGGCCAGCATTTGCTGTCCAAAAGGAACAAGTCACTTAGCTGCTACAACTGTGGTAAGATACCCCTCCCCCAATTCTTTCAAGGACTCGAGTTAAGCATTATTTCATAGTTCAATATATTTTTAGGGCCAATATGCAAATGGACTAACTAGGGTTGATGAGTCCAGTTTCCTTTAAAATATTGGAATAGCATTCATTTCCTTATAAAATGTTCGTTAACTGAGCTATTTACTAATGCTAGCCTAGTAGTTCAAGCTTTGCAATGTTTAATTAGATTATCTTAGAACCTTGAATGTCTTTTTGCAGTCTTAGGGCTCAGCTCCAGGGCTTGCACATGCTAGGCAAGTGTTCTACCACTGAGCTATACCGTCTGGATTTGCAAGACAAGGTCTTACAGTGTAGCAGCCTGGCCTGGAACTTGAGATTCCCTCGTGTCTTGCCTTCAGCTGCTGAGATTACAGGCAAAGGTCAGCATGTCTGGGTATATAAACACCATAATCACATCCAGTGGGGTGACTTCCCAAAGATTTTTTACTTCCTCCACTCTCTCAGTTGCATTATGAATGCCACTAGATTTACATACAAATATCAAATTTATACGAGTTTGTGAGCCCATGGGTGATGTCTGGTTTTCTTTCTGTTAAAAAAAAAAAAATCTGTCCTAAAATCTCACTGGTACTAAATGGGGGCAAGAAGTGCAGGACATTGTTGTCAACTTTCACGACTCTACAAGCTTTTGAACTTTTGCTTCAAGTATGCTCTCCAGATTCCTCACCCAGGTGCCATCGCCTAGACGCCTGATGCATATACACTCTCAGGACTCTGAATTAAAGGCTTGTAGCAAACATTTGTTTTATTTAGTCTAGGGGTTCTGTTCGATCAAAACTTTGTTTCCTTTAACAGATTAAAAATCTTTTTTTTTTTTTTTTTTTGGTCTCTTATGTTGATTAGTAGTGAATGAACAAAATCTCAGCCCCATGGAGATTGTGCTTTGGAAGGAAAACAGACTTTGAATGATCACTGTAGGCTGTGAGAGCTACAGACAAGAATAACATCTAAGGAGAAGAAACTGCTGAGGTGGGGAGGGCCTGCCTAGTGTGGAGGAAGCGCTATCATGCAGGGCAGCATTGGAGCAGGAACTTGAGGGAATAGAGAAGCACCACCATAGAGACAGCTACAGGAAGACGGTCTGACTAAAGTGAACGGACTGCAGAGTTAGGAGGCTAGCACAGCCAGAGAGAAGAGAGGACTGGGAGGTGGTCATTGTTGGTTCCATTTCTTGATGCACATAAAAAGCTCTACTTGAACTCACTACAGTCTTGTAGATTTAGACTAATAAAGCCTATTATTAGTACAATATTTGGCACATTAAAGCACTTTCTTTACTGGCTCACATGGATGCATAGTATTTTCTAAGGACAGCTTTGTTCTCATTACTTTTTACCATAACAAACAGTTCAAATTTAACTCTTTCTCTGGAGCAGTAGCTGCACATTTCTGTAAATGAAAAATGATTTGATCTGGTAAGTAACTTAAACTTAAAAGCTTCCCTTAAACTTCATGTCTAGTCATAGCTGTCCCATCTAGAATGATCTGTTTATTTTCCTTCCAAAAGACAATCTCCATGGGGCTTACATTTTGTTCCGTTCACCACCAACCCACATACCAGACCAAACACACTCATCCCAGTTGTTCAGCAGTGATGCCCACGCATGGAAACAGATGTACCTCGATGTTTTGGTTGAGTTTCTTGACAATGCTTGTGATGGTCTGTATGTGACTTTCTAGTAACTTCCTTGCAAGAGATTCTTCTTTCCGAAAGCCCTGGGTCCCCTGGAGGCAAGCAGAGATATCCTCCTGGATGCGGAATGCTTGCTCAAGGAGGAAGGCTATGGTGCGCTCCTGGTTATTTATCCTGTCTTCTAGTTGACTTGTCTGGTTGCTTTGAATGACAGGAAGGAAGGGACAGCCCCTGTTCAGAAGAAGAAGACAGTGTTACAGGACTGAACACCAGTCCCTTAGTCCTTGTTCTCCTGCTGTGGAGAGACGCCATGGCCCAGGCAACTCTTACAAAAAGAAAACATTTACTTGGGCTGGCTTACAGTTTCAGAGGCTTAGTCTGTTATCATCCTGGTGGGGAGCATGGCAGCACATAGGCATGAAGTAGCTGAGAGTTTTACATCCTGATTCATAAGCAGCAGGCAGAGAGAGACACTGGGCCTGGTGTAGGCTTTTGAAACCTCAAAGCCACACCTTCTAATCCGAGGTTCTCAACTTTCCTAATGCTGCAACCCTTTCATACAGTTCCTCAAATTGTGGTGATCCAACCATAAAGTTATTTTCATTTCTACTTTATAACTGTAATTTTGCTACTGTTATGAATCATAATGTAAATGTCTGATGTGCAGGGTATCTGATATGCATCCCCAAAGGGGTCAGCACCCACAGGTTGGAACCGCTGTACTAATCTTTCCTAAACAGTTTATCACCTGGAGACTAAGCAAACATGGGCCAATGGGGGCCATTTTCATTCAGAGCAAGGCTCCAGGAACTGGAACTCACTTTTCTACTGCTACTTTTTCATTTTCTTTCCTGTGTCCTGTGAGACATTTAAACTCTTTCAGAAGCTCAATTTGTGTCTCACCTAAGGAACAGCTCAGACTTCTGCCTTGATATTGTATTAGACATCCTCGCATGCTTCTCAGGCAAGAGCTATTTCATATGCAACGATGACAAACTGTAAAGCCAAAATGGTAATAGCTGAGAAGGAATTAAGAGTAGTCCTGAGGGAAGATGGTGGAAGCCTTCTTCAGTGACTTATGTCTCTCTACGCCCTTGTATACAAAGTCTGTTTTAACCTAAAAATATAAGTTCTTATATATAACTTTAAAAATGCCAAACTGGGGGCCTGGGGAAGACCAACCAGGGGGTAAAATGCCTGCTGCGGAAGCATGAAGACTGAAATTCATATTTCTAGAACCCCATACGAAGCCAGCACAACAAGGTACACCTATTTTCTGTCCTGGGGAACAGAGGCAGGCAGCTCCGAGCCAACATAGCCACATCAGTGAGCCCTATGTTCGGTGAGAGACCCTGTCTCAAAATATAAGAGGACAGACGATTGAGAAAGGTACCTATGTCAACCTCTATCCAGCATCCACATCCACATACATATGTCTGTGTATCCACAGACATACACATACTCAGGCATGAATGCACACACATGTATGTACACACAAAGTGACTGTTTGGACGGTTTCTGTGAGGTTCTGTCTTGGAATAGTAAATAAAATCAACTACTGCATAAGAATTTCATAGCCAAACAAACCTTAAAAAACATTGTATACAATAACTCTCTCTTGGTGACTTACATTCTGCATTAGCTTATCAGTGTTTAACAGTATTATATTAAAAAAAACAGTATTATATTAATTTCACCAAAAAGGAAAATAGTTTATACACTAGGTAAAAGGCTGGCCCAAGGATCATTCCAGACACATGACTAAAGCACTTGATTATTTTATTCCTGAGTACGGGTCACTTCCAATGTTCTTGAGGGCAGATTTCTGTCCTCTTAAATGGCTACAATTTCGTTTGATTTATGTAGAAGAATTATATTAACCTTAAACTAGTCTGCAGTGCTATTTAGTTTCATGGGGGCTTTTATTAAGGTATCATAAGGGAGCCTTTTTCTTGGAGCTTTGTTTAGCACACCAAGTTTCTGCAACAGTGCCTACTCTAAAGGAGTGTTTCTGTGTGAACCCCGATGTGCTCTGAAAACTTTGAGTATCACCTAGTGTTGTAAACAGGTGTGTATAATAAGTACTCCAAAAGAGTGACACAAGGAAATAGGGACTTGGGGCTGTATAAACAGAAGTCTACAGAATGCTGCCCCAGCAGTAGTGTGGCAGACTGGGAAAGGCCTCAAATAAGGCAGGCTCCTCTGGAGTCCTGACCACCACAGAGCACACCTTTACCAGAAGCCTGAATGCTTTACCACTTCGGCACACTGTGTCTCTATTTCAAACAGAAAAGAAAGAGGGTGAAGAATATGATTTACCAGGTGAGCTTGTCCACCCGTCTTTCTTTAAAATGAGAAAGTTCTAGAGGCTTCATCATGACACTTCTGTCTCTTCCATTGATTCAGACTATGACCTATGGACACATTTTGTGACTTACAGACAGTTTGTGTGAGTACAAACACTGATGAATCAGGCAGCCTGGAACTGAGAGGTTCTGCCAGCAATGTGCTAGCGAGTTTAGGTATTTCAAGAGAGATCTTCCAACCTTTGGATGATAACCAACTATGACCTTGTGAGGCAATCTGAGCCAGATCACCTAGTGAATCACTCTGGACTCCCAGTCCATAGAAACTGTGTGACATGGCAGCAGATAAGAAATAGGGACAGCGATTTATCTGAAACATTGGTGGCCTGAGATTAAGATGGTGATTCTGGACACAAAGGGAGGACAGCCATCACAGAGATTAAGCACCCAGGAGTTAAAGAGATTGGAAAGGAGCTTGGAAAAGGCTCATTCTACAGGTTCTAATTTGTGTTTAATGAGCAATGATTCCTTTAATCAAAATTGCAATTAAAAAAACTCCAGATGTAGGGGAAGAGAATAAACTTGAGATAGTTATATAAAGTTGCCCATTGGATAATCTGACATGTTTCTAGAGATAGAGATTTAGGTGATTCTGAAAATTAAGGGTAGTTGAAGACTTGGTGAGGAGGAGGAGCAATGAGATTGTGTGACTTGCTATGTGCCTGTATGTGCACACTGTGTCATGGGGAGAAGTCATTTTCAGTGTGTTTGGTTTGAGGTAGGGGCTAACCAGACATTTCCCTGCAATCTTATAGGCACCCGACTGGGATGTCTGTCACCCAGAGACTTACAGTGCCTGAGCGGGTGGCTACAGAAGGGGCGAGCAGCTGCTGCCGACGTTATGGTCTGATTGCATCCTCACAGCCATCACTTAGAAAATAATTAAATTACCCACCGTGGCCCGACCCTATCCTCCTCTCCACCTGGGCTGTGTTGTCAGCCTCGGCTCTACCCAAACCTAGATGCTGCTTGCCGTTGACTAGAGGGCCTGGACTCCGGTAGGAAGGAGTCTGTGGAATTCCTGAAGCAGCTTTGGGTTCTATGGAAAATGGTGCCTTTCTGTCTGCCTGTGAGTCCGAGTGACTGCAGAATCCCTGGTGAGGCTGCTCCCAAGACTACACAGTTCTAGTCTTAGCTCTAGATGATACTTAAGGGGCCACATTTAGGTTTAGCTGTCTTTAAAAACACAGACTTTAAAGGAAGAACCAAGACCACTGCCAGGTCTAAAAGGAACCCCAATTCCCCTGAAAGCAGTGGCTAACCCCAAGATGTGTGTCTTTGCTCAGCTCAAGCTGCACCACAGGAGCAGCAGTTCTCAGGAACCAGTGAACTTGGTGTCTGCCTGCAAGGAAGGGCCACTTCCCTTGGCTATACCTGTGGTTGCAAGTCAAAGCCCAGGGTAGCCTCCAGACTCCCCCAGTAACTATCACACGTACCTGTTACACATTTCAAAGCCCACCCTAGCATCCTGGCCTTTCCTAGACGGTTCCATATGTCCTTCTTATAACCCTCATGGTTTTTCTACTACCTGTTTCTCTAGCTCTGGACATGGCCAGTCTGCTTGCTTTTTTCTCTGTTCTTCCAGATGTGCTCTCTCTGTGAGAGAAACCATTTCAGGGGTTTCTTTACTGTGTTCTGACTTACAACCCTGACAGCTGATATACATCTGCCCTAAAAAACCATAAATCATCTGAGACAAAGCACAGAGCCAAAGGACCTGAATGATACAGTTCATTGGAGTAAATGATACAGTTTACAGGGGGTAAATTTTCTGGGTTAATGATAGTTTTGACAAAAATGCTGAATTAGCATGATTACCCTCTTCCCAACCTGAGAGAATTCCTGTAAAAACTTGGAAGACCTGGAGAAAGCATGCATACTGTAAGAAATTCTGGGACTGTGTGTGTGTGTGTGTGTGTGTGTGTGTGTGTGTGTGTGTGTGTGTGTGTGTAAATACATTGATATTATAATGTGCTAGCCACTGTGCTCTCAGGAAGGAAGGGTTTATTCCTCTCACCTGCTGGGAGATCTCAGTAGGCAGATCTCAGCAGGTCACGTGCTCTGGGACTTTATTTAGTGGAGAGAGTCACCTTGTCAAGGTCATATCTACTGGGATGGCTTGCATGCAGTGTGAGAGCAGAAAGGCCTGGCTTTGCTTAAATTGGGACAGCTTTCAAAGGCCATCTCCACTTGTTTGGAGACGCAGCCTGAGTCGATGGCCACTGTGACCTGGGGTAGGAGACAGCTCAGCCTGGCTGTGGGAGGGTGGAGAGGAAGCAACCATTACCTGTGGCTTCTCTGTTGGCCTGCAGACAAACTACTCTTGAAACTTCAGACTTTCCTGGACTTTTGAGAACCATGTCTGGCAGAGTTCCGAAAGAGGTAGAATAACAAGAAACAGGAAGAGCAACTGACTCTGGACAGTTTCCTTCCTAGAATCCAGTGCAAATGGCTCAAAAGCTCAACTGCTCTCCTACAGAAAGTAAAGCCTTGGCAGAAGGTAGGTCCTTCGTATGTCTGACAAAGCTTGCCTGTGATTTAGCCACAACTTCCCATTTCTGGACCCATGGTGTGAGAGAGACATAAGATAAATATCTGAAAAGCCTTCCTCACCAGGACTGTGTGTAACAAACAGAGCATGTCTGTGATACACAAAAAAAGGCAGATGGCATACAAACAACTGAAGGGATCAGCATTCTCCAGGCACTTTCTGTCCTTTACCTTCTACCTCTGGGAATGCCACTTTCTCTTTCTCAATAAACTGTTTTTATTTCTGTCATGATTCATATGTTCAGTTCATCGTTCTGGGAGATGAGAACTGGAAAATCTCATTAGGCATGCCTTCTACTTGTACTTATAACACGC